GCGGTCTGTGTGCTGTGACAAGTGATATTTCACTCTAAGTGCAGCACTCCTTTCCTGTCATTTGCTCTGACTTTACTATGCTTGGTCTGTCATGTTTATTGTGTTATCAGCAACTTGCAAGATCAGCCCGAGTGACTGTTATCACTAACCCTTGCAGAAATAACTAGGCTAGAGGCTTGAATTGTTTTCTTGTTACACTCTGGTCAGCTGACATAGCTTTATGCTATTAAAATTTAAAACATATTCATATTACTTATTTTTCAGAACTGCTTATATTATTGGGGATTTGCTGCTTGGCTGGCCTATTACATCAATCATCCTCTCTATACACCTCCTTGTAAGTAGTAAAATGGCCCTCAGAATTGTTGTAATGCTCCCTTACTGGATGTACATTAGTGCTAACTATCTGCTTTTTCAATATTTTTTTTATAGCCTATGGACAAAAACAGATAAATTTTGCTGTGATCATGTTTCTGGTAGGTTGGTTACTGTACTTATAAGACATGAAAAATTCTTTACTTCTTAAAATTGTATAACTGGGAGAGAAGAGAATGGGATGGCCAAGCATTTACTACTGGAAAGCTCAGGACTTAGAACTAAGAGTAATATTTTTTTTTAGTTAGAACAGAGTTGTCAGTTTGGATTTAATCCTGGATACCAAGAACATTTTTAGTTCAGTTAAAGTTTCAGGATCATCTAGCTGATAGATGAAACCTTGAGTGCAGAGAACCATGTTGAACTACATACATCAACAGGATCCTAGACCCATCAGTGGCTAGTATTGTCAGGGGCAGACCCAGAGGCTATGCAGTGGCACTGCTAAACCCCCTTTCAGACTGGACCATGCTGCTGGAGACTCTGGGGACTTAAAAAAAACCCTTCCAAAGCAGGTGAGAATCCCCCTTATCTTCAGTCATCAGAAGCACATCCTCTTCCCCCCTCTTCCCTATGCTCCACCTGCTGTGGCTGCTTTCCCTGGTGTCCTGAGGGTGGGGAAATCTTTAGAGCTGCTCCTGCCTGCTCCAGCTGGGCTGTGCAAGGGCTGGGCTCATTAAGGCAGCAACAGTAGCAGTGTCTCCCCGCTTTGCAATCCTTTTTTGATCCCCTTTTTCCAATCCTATTTATTTAGTTTATTCTGCTATAAGCCTACTGAAGTATTTTAAAGAATTCTCTATAAATTAATCCTGAGAAGTGTACTAAAGGTAGTGTTAGACTGACATCATAGCTGTGATGGTACAGGAATTATGCAAGATGCAAGGATTTTTGGGGGGTGATATTTTTCATTGGACCAACTGCAGGGTTGGAATAAAGTTAGACTAGCTTTTGAATGCAAAACATTTGTCTTCAGGTGAACATCAAGAAAGCTTGTCTAACTATTTTAACCCTGCAGTTGAGCCAATAAAAGATGCAACCCCCAAAAAAGTCCTTGCCTCAAGTATAGTAAAGAAAATGCTTCCATTTCACTTATTCCTATTCTTCTTGCAGCTGTGTGAGGCTGGGAATTTCTCTATCCATGTTGCACTCAGTGATCTCAGGAGAGATGGTAAAAGCTGCATTATTGTTCTCTACTTTTATGTAATTAAGTTAGCACTTCAGCAATGAAATGCACTAAGGTGTAGTGAGCCTTCTTTGAAGGACCCGTCATCTTCAGCTTCTTTCAATTTAGTTGAAAGAGGGAATTCAGTATCTCATAGGACTGAACCCTAAGGAAACATTGACTATGCATGGAATGAAGAATCAGATCATTATGCAGTACCTTACAGTAAATTTACTTACCATATTTCATGGTGTATAGGTTGATGCAGTGTACAAGTTGACCCCATTTTTCTGATCCAAAAAGTTAGGAATTTCATAGATCCAGTGTATAAGTCAACCTAACTTTCTGGATCAGAAATATGGGGTCAACCTATACTGGCCCCTGTGCACCCTCACTGCAGGCCAGGTGCCTAGGGAGTGGACATGTGCCACAGCGCCACTCACAGGGGATGAGGAAGGGCTCAGCACTCGGTGGCATGGCCCCTTCCCCTGTGAGCAGCACAGCCTGGGCCATGCCAGCTGAGCATCAAGCCTGGTTCTGTGTGCTGCTGAGCACTGAGTCCAGCCCTGACCCTTATGAGCGGCACTGGGCTCAGTGCTTGGCTGGCATAGCCAGACTTGGCACTTGGCAGCACCGCTCACAGCAGATGGGGCCAGGCTCAGCACTCAGCTGGCACGGCCCAGGCAGCACCACTCGCAGGGGACGGGGCTGCACCAGCTGAGCACTGAGCCCATCCTTGACTCCATCCCCATCTCCTGTGAGCAGTGCTGCCTGGGCTGCACCAGCTGAACGCCAAGCCCAGCCCTGTCTGCTGCAAGCAGTGCTGCTGAGTGCTAAGGCCGGCCATGCCAGCCAAGCACTGAGCCTGGCACTGCTCACAGGGGACAGGACTGGGCTTGGCACTTGTCTGCTGCAGGTGGTGCTGACAAGACCATGCTTAGTGCTTGGCTGATGTGCCCCCACCCCGTGAGAGTGGTGCTGCCTGGATCACACCAGCTAAGTGCTGAGTCCAGTGCCACTCGCAGGGGACGGTGATACAACATACACGTTGAGTTTGAATTTTAAGGTTAAAAACTGGGCTTCAAAACTCCACTTGTACACTGTGAAATACTGTACTTAGGGCCAGATTGTACCTTCAGGACATGGGCCCCTGTTAGTGGCACTGGGACAGACCATAGTGCTTGATCCAAGTGGTGCTGTCATAAGCTGGACTAAGTGAGTACATGAGCCATTACCTAGCCTGGCTTCTAGACAAACTGTGTGTGCTTGGAGGTGTGAGTGGGAGGGTTGCCTTCTCTTTGTGCAAAGACTAGGTGCATTCTGGTCTTTAATGTCTACTACCTGCATCCATAATTGTAAGTCAATCTCATTTCTAATGAGAACAGAAATACTGTTCATTTTTGAGGTCTGAGAGGTGGTACACATACCTTTTTTGGGAGTAACCTAGCTGCCAGTCAGCATTTCCAGTGATCTTTTTCAAGGATGCTGCTATCATGAATGGTAGCTACAAATACAGCAAAACATCTTATATGGGGTACCGGTAGATGTGTGGGACACCTGCTTTGACGTGCTGTAACTACTCAGTTGAATTAATCACCTGACTAATTAGCACTCTCCTCAAATAAGCTTTAAAGTGCTTCTGCTGCCATTTTGAAGCATGGGACGCTGAATACACAAGATCCTGGGGGCGCTTTAATTAGAATGGCTTCCAAGAGCCACTCTAATTGACCCCACTCCTCCCCTCCATTTCCATCCCCACCCCTACTCCCAGAGCAGTGTAAAGATGCCCATTATGCCCAAAGCATTCCTTCACAGGTATCCTAATCTCTCTGCTGGATTCAGAGGTCTCCATTTTTAGGAAAACCTGTGTTACCATCTGTCAGTTATGAGGCACTTTGATGGGTAAAGGTGGATTGTCTTTATAGTAACCTACAGTGTAAGTAGAGATGTTGGCGTTGTTATATTTTGGGTTTTTTAATCTGTAGGATCCAAAACCCGTAAAATCCCATATCCAACAAAGAATCCTTTTACGTGGCTGTTTTTCTTTGTATCCTGCCCTAACTACACATACGAGGTAAGTGTTCCTGAAAAAAACTTTTTAAGTTTCTAATTTTGCACATTGCAGCTTCATTTGTATTGGAATATTTAATATTGATTTGGACTGAAAATCCCACTGGATATGGTTTTCTAGTCAGGTGTAATGAGACAGACTGTGTTCAAGGCAACTTTTCTAGCTCCCTCCTAAACTGTCCTGATCAGTCATGATTGGAGCTGCCAGATTGTATGGCTGTCTGAAAACGATCACCATACAATCATCGCCTCCATGTAGGTCTGACTAGGGGTTTCCAGTAACCACTAGCATCTGCCCCTGTTGCCACTCACCCAGCACCATAGGACTTGCTATTAAAGGACAACACCTACATGTGTCTTCTTTAAAGGTGGGGATACATAGAGTGAGCATCAGCAGCCACACAATACTTGGCAGGAGGAAAATCTTAATCTGATGGCAAGGAAAACCTAGACAACCAGAGGTTTCTATTCTGCTACAGACTTCATCCGCCTTTGCAGCTATTGTGAAGTATTCTTTGTTCATCTGGTTGCTCTGCTGTGGAGAACTTTTATTTTTGGATTGCTGTTAGTCTAGAAATCCTGTTCTTGACCTTGCCATGGGCAAAGCTACCAGGAGTACAGAACTCCAGACGGCATCACTCCTAGGGTCATTGGTAGTACACAAGCCTCTCTACCACATCCAAGTTGAGATCCAACTTAGAGAGGAATACTTATTGCAAATATGTAAGAGAAGCATGCAGACATAGAAGGCATGACTGCTTAATGCTGCCTAACTAGGAGCCCAGTTCTGGGTTCAACCTTGTAAACAGGAAAAAAACACCCAGAGTAGCTTCAGTGAAATTCATTCATATGCAAGGAAGCTGCATGTGGCCTTTACATCTCTTAATCTCTCACAGTTTAAGACTTTAATGGGCTATAAGCAATGTGTAGATGTTACCCAGGCTGTCTCAAAAGAGTAAATTTCAGCCAGTCTTCAAACAACATTGCACCACAGAGATCAGACTTGTACAAAATCCTGGTGGGGATTCACCAGGAGAAAATGAAAACAGTATTTGTACCCCTGGCTGTAGACTATAGCACTGACATAGGAACAGGAAATACAAAATAAATGGAAAAAAGGGTGAGAGGAAACTATAATGATGTTGAACAGTCTGAAATGTCACATACGCATTAACAACTGTTTAAAATATGGCTAGGTACAGACATTCAAAAAGCCTGAGATGGAATTGATCTGAGTTGCACAGTTTTCTGTAAGCAACATAGTTTAGATAGGTAGCAAACAGAATACACATGCGCCTTTGGTGGGAGTGGCAAATCTTAGACTGGGTTCTGCCATTTTTTAAACCAGTCTGTGTGTGCCAAACTTCTGTTATGGGTATAGCCCAGTTTCCGATCACTTATATACCAATAAAAGTGTAATGTATGTACCTGGCCAAAGAGGAAAGTTTTGTTTTGAGGCTAACAGGCTGCCACAAACTTTTTGATATAGGTTCCAGAGACAGATTCACTTGACCATGGCTTCTTTGTGTACCTACCTTAGGACAGGCTTTTTGCAATGAATGGAGGTATACATGCAAATTCCATCACCAGAAATGTTTTTCATTTCCTTGGTCAAACAGGTGGGGGCCTGGATCAGCTTCACTGTCATGACTCAGTGTGTCCCAGGTGAGTAACGTGTTAGTCCTCCCAACTAGTTAACATGTCCTCAGTACAGAAGAGTGTTGTTTTCCTGGCATTCACATGGTGTCTTTTTCTTTCTTCCTTATAGTGGCATTGTTTACTTTGCTTTGCTTTATTCAGATGACAATTTGGGCAAAGGATAAACACTGCACCTACCTACGAGAATTCAAGGATTATCCAAGTCTTCGAATGCCAATTATTCCATTCTTATTGTAAGAAGAAAGACTTATTTGAACGCTTGTGTGGAACTACAGGAAGAAAAAGCTAATGGGCTTCTTTTATGGACAAAACTGCTAGTAAATGGGAGAATTTGTTTAAATAGCTGAGATGGTTCATGTGCATACTGGATCTCCATTTCTGTGGGAAATTCTAGACAGTTGAAACCCTCCTAATATGTCTAAATTCAGGGGCATTTTTGAAATCCAGATTAATTGCCCTGACTGTTGCTTCATTGATGGTCAAAGGTCCCTATGGCTCACTATAACCAAAGTGGCCTAGAGCTTTCCAGTTAGTAACAGTTGGGTCTTCCTCTACCAGTGATCAGAGGCAGCGTGAAGACTTACCGTGAGGGATTTCCAGCTTTGGGAGCAGCATGCCACCAGAGTGCAGATCAAGTTGCCTTTCCTGAGTCTCTGCAGCTGGAGTGAAATTGGTGTGGGGGCAAGTGCATCATAAATTACAAAGGGAAAGATGTACTTGGAATAGAGAGGTGAGCACTACCACAGAGGACCGAGATGATTATTCTAATGTATGTGTTGTCCAGGCAATCTGAAAGCAAAAGTAATTTTGGGTATAACATCCCTTGTTTAGAAAGTTCCTTTACCAATAAATTGTTCATTGGTTAGTAGATAAGATTTTGAAGATCTAATCTCTTCTGCAGCTATGCTATCTGACCTGTTTTCGTAAAACAAGTCATTGTGATACCAAAGGATCTTTTATCTAGACATTTTGTGTTAGTGTTCTCTGAAGAGTTTTTAATATACTTTGTAAACAAATGCACTAACCTAACAGTCCTCAAAATGATAGTTCCATCAACATTTGCAAGCCAGGGAGGAGGATCCAGTTACACTTTGAACTTCCTGTGTTTTGTTTTCCACAAAGTGTTCAGTGTGACCTGGGAAAGTTTTGTACAAAACTACTCAAGAAACTGTTGCAATCCTGTCTTATTGACATTTTAAAGAAACTATTTTAGAGCATATCTATGAATAGAAGACATATATACTGTTTTGTTTCATGACTATTTATTTATCTATAAAAGATGTATAGAAGGATTTTTTGCAGCTATTTGTAAAGATGAAGTATGCAATAAATCAAACCTACGTTTTGAATTGCATCAGAAATAATTATGGCAACAAAAGATTGCATGTGGTTGCTGACTTTTTGTATAGTACAAAGCAAAATAGTCTAGTCTCATGTCAGATAAAAAAGCTATATCAGGGGAGGAGCAGATGGGGGGGAATGGGACTGATGAACAACAAAAATACACAACAGCCTTCATTTTTGCATAACAAATTCTTTCAGTGTCAAGGTGGCTGAGGGACATGCTCTGGTAAGTAACCAAAGCAATAAATCACTGCAAACCTGCTTGTCTCACTAATCTAAACTGTGAACTAGGAAAGGAGCTAGATGCAAAATTAGTGTTTTTGCAGAGGGAAAATTAGTGTTTTTGCAGAATTCATCCTGATTTATGACAGGGATGTCTTCCCAGACCCCTTTGTGAAATGGAGAATGTCAGTATGGCCTGGGTCAGGCCAGAGAATAAATACCAAGCATTATGTTGACTCTTTTAAAATACCTGTTTCAGCATTTTTGCTTCAGCACCTGAAACCAGGAAGTGAAGGGGCATGTGGTCATATTCATTAAAACATGTATCAAACTTTTTCAAATGTCAAAAAGGTTCTGCTTGGCTGTGAGCTTTGAGTTGGTTCCCTCTGAGGACAGTGGTGCAATCATACCCCCTTTGCCTCTGGTTTACTGCTGAGAGCTCTGGTCTCAGCTACTGCACCCATGCTGAGTTTGCTCATTGCTGCTGCCACACACCCCTTTTAGTGGTCCTCGATCAACTACTGGTTCCCCTGCCCCCTCATTTCTGCTGAAACATGTCCTCTGTTTGCATCTGGAACTCTAATACAATGGCCTGACATTTCAACAAAGCAGTCTCTGAGCAGCTATACTGTCTGTCAGCAACTGTGTTCTGACCCAGTCTAGGTTTTCCTATTTCTGAGCTGGGCAGTACTCTCTGCCTTTGGCTCTGCACCCAGTGCTACTAGTAGCAGTTAAAAATACCAGGGTACAGAAACTGTACTCTTAATAGCTTTGTGTGTGCTCAGAAGGAGGAAAGAGTCCTTTCCTTTTGCACCAAAAATGATTTTTATTTTACAGAAGCATTTTATAAACCAAACACCTTGACTCCTTTGACATTTTCAATGTGTCTCTCATGCATTTCTCCTGTCAGAGCAGTAGAAGCTTCCTGCGCCTGCTAAAGATGCACATTTCTCAGCAAGACTTCATCTGAATACTGTGCCCAGGAGTGGTTTCTTCACTGTCCATACTGCTGCAATATGGCACTTCCCTGAGCTATTTATGCTCCTGGTATTAGTGGCTGCACTATGCAGATGTCTGTGCAGGAGTATCTGGGTACACCTTCACTTCTCTCCTGGCTCCAGCTGCACGAGGGTGTAAAGGAATTGTCTCATCTTCCATCTGTTGCTTAGCAAAGTTCACAAACACCTGTGTGAGGAAGAGACACATAAAGCACCAAAACCTACCAAGACCAGGCAGTCCAACTACTTTGGCAAATTGCATCATGTCAGCTCCTTTGTAGAAAAGAGGTGCAGAAGGAAAGCCACAGGGATGTGCAGAAGTGAGACCCTGTCTGCTAGCACAGCTCACACATTTTTCATTATTCGATATCAATATGGATAAGTGCTGCATGGAAGCCAAATCCATCTCTCAACTCCAGCAGAGGTAGGGTTCTGTCAAGGTTCACACAGTGTGAGATAAACTACTGGGTAAGCAAGGAGTTGGAGGAGCCAAATGGTGGTCCTGAAGTCCTTATGTACATGCCAGGAGGAAATGTAGCACTTCCACAGGTGTATGCACCCACCCATTGGAGGGGGGAAGGAAGGGGAGTGGGGCTGTTAACAGCCCTGAAAAAGATATTGTCTGGACACTCAAAGCCACTGCAAAAGCATGGAGATGGCCATGATACT